TATATATTATATATATATATTATATATATATGTGTGTGTGTGTGTGTGTGTGTGTGTGTGTGTGTGTGTGTGTGTGTGTGTGTGTGTGTGTAGACATAAGTATGAGTATAGGTATATAAAGAGCGTATTACTAAATCTAGATTTAAAACAAATCCTCCTACCACAGTAAGACATACAGATTGTCCGCGTTTCATCGTTTAAGGACACTGCACAACGGCAGCCCAGACAGTGAGGCTACTGTTAAGTCGACCAAAGATGGTGACATTAGAACAACCGACGACCCGTCCCCAGGAGAGACAGGTATGGTTTACAGTGTCTATTTCAAACTGGACTTGTCCTCTCACCGGTCCAGTTATCTCTCCGTATATTATGTGGTTGTCACTGTCGTAGATGATAAGCTGTTAGTTGACATGCCACTAGTGCAGACCCAGCTGCAGTTATTGATTATACACACACACACATGCACACCCAATATTAAAGAGAACGCACACTTTCGCCCATACGCAGTGGCAACAGAACTTCTGCAAGAGCCTACCGAAAGTAAACGGAAACGGTCATCAAGTGGCAAGTACATAGCCGGGATACTGGGAAGCGCCTCGAGGAAACGATCTTCATCCCAACCGTCAGACTCCAACGGCAGAGGGGGCGGAGAAGCAATGGGTGAGCCTACTACGGTGCTTGTGTATATTGATATTGGATATGTGTCATGACGGTGTGTGTGCGGGCGTATTATGTGAACATCCCTCTCTGTGTTCACAGATAGCATACACCTGTAGCCTGTGAGTGCCTGCATCGCTGACTTACGGAGTGGAGCAGTAGGGCAGGGCACTTCATTTGCTCTGCCCGGTCCCATCAGTAGAGGGAAGGTGCGGATGTCTTCTAGATGCGTAAGCATACAGAAATGATTCACGCGTCGCGTGTGCATGTATAGTTGACGTGCTCATGTCCATGTACATGCATACATTCATTGTATACAACCTGTGTGATTGGGAACTCTTAGACCCCTAAAACGCTAAACCTTTTTTTTCTTGTTTAGTTGTTTGCTTGATGACTTGATTGCCAGTTGACTTGTTTTCTTGTTTATGCCCTTTGTAGTTCAGTGTATATCCACAGTCACTTTTGACCGCACATCGTGGACATCCACTCACCCCTCCCCCTCCACTCTCCCCCCCCCACCACACACACGCCATGCAGTAACCCGCACCACATCCAACACAGAAACCAAAGGCCTACCCAACACCAGCACAACGCACAATGGCGGACAGAGCATCAACACCACCTCAGTAACCCGCACCACAGACCCTACAGCACTCCACAACAAGGCCAAAAATGGCGCTCTGGTGGCGCCCGGGTGTCTTATCTTCACCACACACAATATTTTCCAGTGCTATGCGTACGGACGCGCTCAACACACTATCTCACACAGTGATAAGCTGGACACGTACGCTACACCCACCCCAGCGACGGCCCATGCGGCTAAGAGAGTGCCGAATACATATGTAAGTACGGTTGACAGGTACACAGATATAGATATGTATAGATATATATGTATATATAGAGATAAAGAATATATGTATGTGTTTTTATATGTATGTATGCATGTATATATATACATGGAATATATA